TAGCCATTGAGAAGATTGTTTCAGTATATCAGAAACGGATTGCACAGATATTCCATATTCTTGGGCCAATTCAACACTTTTACTCTCCATTCCCTTGTAACTACTGATGATGTGAGTGTAGCTTCATTTCACCTACTGAAACAAAGATTTACAATTAAAATTTCATGCAATTAAAAAACAATTCAGGATTCTTGCTATTAATTTTCTCATTGTTATTATTAGCCCTGTATTTTATGGATATCAATCCTTTCCATTTATCACAAATTAGCATAATGGACGTCCTATTTCTTAGAATTTCATATCTGAAATATCATATATACAAAAAAAATTTCTAAAAATTAAAGATAGAAATAATCATGGCCGATCAGAGATCACAAAAAAACATTAGGCTGTTTCATTTATTTTTACAGTGTGTGTTTCAAAAAAACCGGAAAAATTAAATCAATCGTTGTGGAACAACCACTGCATTGTATGAAAATGGCTCATTTGATAGATTAAAAGCAGAACCTTTTATTAATTATACTTTAATACAAAATGCTTTTGCTATTGGTTTTAATTATAAACCAACATCTTGATTTTTTGATTAAATTAATTAGAAATAAATCAGTAGTTAGATCTCTTTTTTTTTTTAATAATGAATTGTCCCAGACCTTGAAAACTTTGACTTTTATTCCATTATTTGATAACTTGTTACCAAATATTTTGAAGAAATGAAGAAAAAACCAGTAGATAAATTGTAGTCAGTCATATGATTTCAACTGTGAACCCATTTTCTCCAACCATTAACTCTTATATGAGCCAAATCACCTATTTCATTCAACTTATTAATATTGAAATAAATATTTGAGAATGAAATACTCGTAATATGATGTGTTTGGCAGGTAATAATGTAATTGCAAAAAAAAAATAGTAAAATTCAACCCTATTATGCATTTTAAAAGCTAATTACTCGAAAACTAAACATCAGATTCAGTTAGAAAATGTAACAATTTACTTTGTAATCATATACAACGTCTTGTGTAGCACATCAATATTTACATCTGGAAATGCGACACATAATTAATCATTATTTGTAACATCAATTATTTCATGTCTTTAATTACTATTTATTATTTATCTATGTCCACAAATCTTCCGGATAGATTGATAAGAGT